TATGCGATGTGGTAAACAAACCGAAAAGGTACGATGGTGTGGAGAGAATATCATCGCGCGCGTTGAGGTTTCAACTCTCCGCAGCTCCGGTCTGATAGAGTGTCTTTGTCTATTTTCTTAAGCTTATGAATGGAGAGACGGAAGTAGGTGAAAGGGAAATTTTACGGTCCCAGGTCAGGTGGGTATACGAGGTAGTTCCTCCACGATGTCCGCGCCGTTCCGTCACGCTGCGAATGTTGATGTTATTGTACAATTACACATCTGACGATCGCTGCGAGCCCGTCTAGTGATCGTGGGGGGGGGGGCGGTAAAACGTAAAGACTTTACGGAGCGGCTAAGGAACTCCCGCGTTGATACCGGACACCCAGGGAACCATTGAGCCTCACCTATTGTAGGTGCGATCGAAAGGCAGTGCGATCGTCGACGATAATACAAAACGTAACTCCACCTATGAACTCGAACTTACACGACGCCACTATACGCTTAAGGAAAAACGTATTAAACGTATGTTGGCACGAAATAGCTGCGAAGGTAGGCGGCAAAAAATTCTGTTTGTACACAGGCTAGGTGGCCCGCCGGTTGGTTCTTCGCCAGAGTAGTCGAAAGAAGCAAGTACAGAACTGATAACAAGTGACGACCAACACACAACAACCAGACTTCAACAAAACAACCAGAGGTCATATTAGCACACAAAAACAAAAAAAGTCAGCTCTTTAACAAGCCGTCCCGAGTTATAAACTACAACCGCTAATATTACGGAACAAACCCACAACAAGAGCAATTACACATTAGATTAATTACCAATTTCAGGGCGCAAAAGAGGAAAAAAAAAGAACTAAATATATACCAAGAAAATACTACTGCCACTAAGGATTGATCTGGTGACACGCAGCATATCAATGACTCTCATCCGGTTTAACGCTTGTCCGTCAAACACGAGTAAATTCGTGGTAAAAGATAGTGATAACATAGATGACTAACTTCACACAACCGGGTGTTTGATTTCCGAGTTAATAGACAACTGACGAGATGACGGCAGTTAGTCTTCACGACCCGTCAACAGTGTCGCCGGAACCAAAAAGAATCGTGGGAACACACTCACGATCGAACGATGACAACAAATCCCTATGATGAATAAGTGAAAAGACACTACCGTCTAAGTAGTGATTCCTCAAGAAAGACACGACAGATGAGCTAGAGTATTTTCAGTACCTGTTTCGACAGATTCGAACACGAAGAAGTTGCGTGGACAAGCTATTGCTTCGACGACCGAATGTAGACACTCAACGTGACACATTATCTTCGATTATCTTGAAAGCATTCGTAAGGTCTGGTTAGATAGACTAGGTAGTAGTGGCACAACTATTAGTCTAAAGTCCTAACTCTTGTTAAACAGGCAAAGGACTTTTACATACTTCATTAGTGTTGCCTTACAAATACAGTGGCACGTACAGATTACAGACTCGGAGCTTCCTATCCCTGTGTGCCTTGGCAGTCTCACCGGGGTGAAAAGGGTGTTACATTTACTTAATTATGAATGTTGTTACATCAAGGCCGAACATTAGGATGAGAGCCAACGGTCAAAAATGTTTTTTCCCTCCCAGAGCTACCAGCGCAGCGCCCTCCAGATCTGGCGCCCTAGGCGACCGCCTGTGTCTCCTATGCCAGTAACACAAATACTACAAATCCACATAACAAACAATCAAAAATGAAAAACGTATTATTATTTTAAGAAAAAAAAAAAAGAAGTATTGTTTGGGTACCTGGCTGGCGCCCCCTAGCAGCGGCGCTCATATTTCAGCAGTGGCGCTGCGCCGCCACTATTTGTATATAGGGGAAACACTGATACATTAAACCTAAGAAATAATCTTTATGTTGAGAATGACAATATAATAAAACACAGCTGTAGAATATAAAATATGTTTGCACACGGCTCTTTACTGTCAGCAGACTTTGTAAAGTACCGTTGTATTTGTAGTCCAGAGTTTAGGGTCTTTCAGAGAGGCTTACCTAAACACTCTGACTATTTATAAGTATGACACCTGCCAAAACCTCCCCCTCTTCCTCCTCTTCACACGCACGCACGCACGCACGCACGCACGCACACACACACACACATCACAGTGTGGTCTGAGGTTTGTTACTAAGTGATAGAGCAGCAACATGCAACACCAACATTTACCACTACCGCCCTCACTCTTCTTAGAATCTGCATAATGCACTCTCAATGCAAAGGCAATCCACTTGATTTGCACCCAATATCTTTGTTATTTGATATATGATCAGCATCTAATAAAGGTGTGGCAGACAGTGTGTACACCTACCCTTATTTACAGCTGTCTGTCAGGAGCAGGGTGTTTACTGTAGCTTCTCCCTACCCCGAAATCACTACTACTGTTGGCTTCTTGGTCTGTGGTTTGGTGACTTGCCCTATAAATTGTGGGTGAACATTTTGAAAAAGAAAAAGGGAAATCAGTTTCTTGCCACCCTCGTCAGAACTGGTGTGACACGTGTTGGTGGTGACAGCTCACTTCATGATCGTAGAGGTCAGCGTATGATCAGATAAGCTTTGGGAGCTTAAATACTCAGAGCAGAAGATGTCTTATGGATCCTGTCTTTTTGAACATTTACGGTAAACGTTTAAAACAGATTATCCAGCAGAGATTTTTTTGAACTGATACAAATGAATGATAACAACCTCTGAGTAATGATGGGAAACATTTTGGGTGAAACTAAGATGTCTAGAAAGGTTCATGTTGGAGCCTCTTTCACTATCACAGTCACATCTCCTCTGATAGGAAGTGGTTTCTCATGTTGAAGCAGAGACTCTACTAAAGGTGACATGGTTTATTCTGAGGTTTCTATCACATACACGCTCACAGATTTAGATTTATGTATATGCCTATATCCTATGAATGTTAAATATGCTACGAAAAATGTAAACTCTCTGCGGTTGAGTACAATGAAGTGCATTTATTTAAGTATTGAACTTTATTACAACTTTAAGGTACTTGAATTTTAAGGTTTCTTGCATCTTTGTACTTTTTCTTTTTTTTTAAACAACTTTTTTTTTCAGTTTTTCACAAATACAGTATGTCCAACATTTATGACTTTGTACCTTTACTCCACTACATTTTTGAAGACAAAATTGTAGTGACTTGCTTACTAGTTGCAGATCCATATTGTTAGCTAATACAAAGTACAAATTGACTAATTATTCAACATTGACATAAAATGATAGGTTCAAATATACAGCTGCAGCATATAAAGTAAATTCATTTAGCTTCACATGTGGTAAAGAATGCATTCATTACCTAATAATTATAATCATGTTTAACATGAAGCCTTTTCCTCAGAGAGTTTTACATTAGGTATATTTTGATGCCAATACTTTTGTCCTTTTACCAAAGTAAGAATTTGAATGCAGCACTTTTTATTGAATTGTTTCCACTTTAGTATCACTACTTTTACTTGAGTAACAGTTCTGTGTCCTTCTTCCACCACTGCACACTCTGACAACACACATCTGTACAAGCATTTGAACTGTGTCCCTGAAGAGGAATTTCATCTTGACTAGTCGTCGTCGATAAATTGAACATTTATTTTATAGAAATGGTGTCACTTTAGTCAAATGTTTTCACACATCCTTCACCGGGTGTCTTTGCACATTCAAAATAAGTTGTTGCCAAAACAACGAAGATGCACAGAAAGTGTAAAAGTACCGTGATGACTGATACGGTGCCATGATTCTGCTCACTGGATTAGACAGAATGTGTACTGAATACAGAAGCTGTTGAACTCGTCCATGTACAGTAATAAGTTGGTTAGAGAAAGCCTATTTATTCTTCTGTTAGAACTGTAGTTGAACGAGGAAGACATTTGTAGTGAGACGTTTGCCGTCCCCGGCCACAGGCTGACACCTGTTGATTCACACAGCTGAACACCAGGAAGTGTCATTAACTGCCTGCCCTCATGCTGCAGTGTTTGGAGGGGCTAAACCTCAAAAACAAAAAATATTCTTGGAATAATCTCACTTGTTTAGACTTCTTGTGAGAGAAGTCCCTACTGGGACCTGCCATATTCAACCCCCCTTACCACAGGAGCCAAACAGCCCATGTGTATTTTGGGGTGCGCTCGGCCTCACCTCTCTACCTCGACACCCCACCCTGCTGTGTGCTCTACACACATCTTCCCTTTTTTCTGCTCGGTGTTCCCGCGCTGCAGCCTGTGGTTTGCACTGCTCTGGTCTCACTGTCAAACTGGCAGCTTTAAGGGTGTGATTGAGGTTTGAAAGCATGTGTTTGTCTCCAATGCCTGCAGATGGCTTCACTGAGGAAGGTAAACATCACATGTTGTAACTGTTAGAGCTAGCATGCGGCTCATCCCCAGGGCCTCAGGAGGAAACCAAGCACAAATGACAGGGTTGTTTTCCCACATCTGTCACTTTCAAATAAGATGTTAGTAACGTAAGGTTTTGCAAAAATGAAATGATGTTTCATGCCAACTCTGGTTTTGGCGGTTCACAAATGCAGATAAAGTTTACTTTTGGTTTCACACGGGACGCTGACTGCCGTCTCCTGAGTGAAAGTCCTGAGATTTCTTTAGGAAGACTATGATTTGATGAAGGACAACACTCCACCGCAGTATAAAGTGCGCCCCTGCATGGTAATGCGATAATCAAATGAATCCTCAAAAATACAACTTGCCTAATAATTGTGCTCACAGTGTATAGAAACAAAGGTCTTAGGAGAGCAGGCTGCTCCTTGTAGAGGGCTCCTGTACCTGCCAGTGTGTGTTCTGAATATACAGTACTCACCACACTGAGCCCCTGGGTATTCATGCGTCTTTACTTGAGTACAGTTTGTATCATTTTGTCCCAAATTTAAACACTTTGCTCTTTTACAAACTGAAACATGTCTTGACCTTCCTCAGTATAAAAACTGAGGTGTATCACTGAGAACTGCATCTTATTTTGAAACTCATGTCTCCTCTGCTCACAGAAAGAAGAAGGAAAGGTCCAAGGCCAGCTGAACCACACGGACTCCAGCCAGTACATCCACGACCTCAAAGACCAGATTTCCGAGCTCAAAGACGAGGTGAGCCCTGAAACAGCATCAGCTCTAATACCATGACCTTCTTATTCCTGCTAGAGATTCTGATTTTGTTGTTGCTATGTCTTTGATGCAGCGATTGAGCAGGTTTCACAACATTCCCTCAGATATATTTTCTGTGAGGCTACCAGATTAGTTCAAGTGTTAACTACACCCAGAGACTTCCTGTGCAGAGGTGACATCTCACTCCTCCTGCAGATACAGCTGCACAAGTAACCTGCAGACGCTGATCAGACTGCAGCCCAGATACATAACGTTGTACTTTCAGAACTTCAATATTAAACTGAAGATATGATAATGACTAACAAGAAAAAAAGAGATTAGAGATGAATTTAACATCAGAGGAGTGAAAGCATCTCATCACTAATGAGCACCAAATGTGTTTTACCTTTTACATTCAAGGATTCTACTGAGGTTTTCAAAAATAAAGCGTCAAGTATATTTTAGTTTTTTTGACCGCAGTGAGATTGATTGAATAAATGTCATCAAATTTGGATCAAAGCAGAATATTCCAACACATGTGGCTTTTAGACTTAACTACGCTCTTGAGATGTTTTGATCAGATCAGGAGGAGAACATGCTACACAACCACCACTGGAATCTAATTCTACAAAAAGTATTCCAGTTATAATATTAGCATAGCCTAGACTTTATCTGTAGCTGTGCAGATATTTCAAATGTAAACACAGTGTGTCAATGTTCTGAATCTAGCTTCAGTACAACCCTATTCATATTTGAGAAACGTATCTTCACTGAGATGTCTTTGAACTGCAGATGAAGGTCTGTGTTGTCTTCCAGCAGATCAGCTATTACACGAAGAATATTTATCTTGACATTTAGCTGTAACTGCATTGGTCAAATCTAGTTTCCTCCCGACTGCATTCATATCAAGGCGCTGCCGTCACTTCCCCTCTCACCTGGTTCTCCTTGTGGTCGTCCAGAGTTATAGCGGCCTGCTACGAATCATGCAGTGAGCAAACCTGAAAGCAGAGTCCCCCCCCCCTCCTCCCTTACTGTTAGAACCTGCATCTTATGGCTGGAAATGTTGACTGCAGCCAGTCACATGTTGATCACAGCACAATTTCCTTTTTGCATGGCAACAACAGGAAGTGAACGTCAAATGTAGACAGGTGCAGGTAAACGTAGGCTCACTTTACTGACTCTGACTGTGCTCTGAATGCGTCTCCTCCTACATGTCTGGCTGCTGCATGGCAGGCCCACTCAGGTGAGTTAGTACAGATGTGCCATCATGTGACCTATGGTTGTTTACACCTGACCACCGTGTACCCTCCTTACACCCTAGCCCCATTTGAGTCTGTTTATATCATGAATGATTCTGGATGCTTCCAATCAAAGGCTTAGAGCAGTGACTAAATTGGAACTGGGGGAACAAATCTGACGTTCACTAGTCAAACCAGTCTTATAATATATGTACCTTTTAATACCTAAAGACACTGTTAAAAAACACTAACAGCAAAAAACACTGCTTTGTATGGTTTGTGGCAGTTTATTGTTTTGGTGCAGCCAGAATATCTCCCCCCATGCAGCTGATGGAGTTCAACAGCATTGTATGTTTTGTACCCCGTCCACCACACAGGGCAGTCATTACATGGTGCATTGGTAATGACGTGGAGATGTCTGCCTCATCAAAGAGAAGACTTGCAGGATTCTGACTGTTTGGCTAAGATGCTTTCATTTCCACCTGTGATTAACAGTCCCTTCTCTGAAGAACAAACAATCTGCAGTCCCAAATACAGTTGACCCTCACTCTTAAAAGCATCTACACTAGCTTTAACCCCAAACCTTTAATACATGCTGATTCTAGTGATCATTTAGAACTGGAGGAAACAAAGAAAACTGATTTATAAAGTTAAGTACTTTGCAAAAGCATTTCTTCGTGGTTATTTTCCTGTAGGTACACAACGGTGAATTATTTTTGAACTATTGTGTTCTTACTGTAAAAACAGTATACTATGTAAATGTACATGAAGTGCTTACTCTATACTAGTGGTATTTAGTTAGGACACAACTCATACCTCATGACATTGTTTAGTAGTATTCTCCCTGCATGTTAGATTTATAAAGACATCTTCTTCTGTGTAACCTCCAAAGGTTTGCCTGTATCAGTTTGTACACGTCACATGTGTCAGTCTTTTGTGTTCCCCCTCAGAATGTGTTTCTCTTGTGCAGCAGCGGTAAACCCTCTCTGAGTGGCTCCTAATCCTCTTCCTGCTCCCTCTCACAGATCCGCTGCCTAAAAGGACCGAGGGGTTTGGCCAATCAGACGAATTTTGACGGGATCCACATCGTCAATCACTACGTGGGGGACAACGGGTCTTACCAGTCTTCAGATGAAGATGCAGGCAAGGGCCCAGGCCTCCCGGGGACCCAGCAGAGGAGCGGAGGCCGTATCCGACTGCGGCCCAACATCCCAGACACCGACAGTGAGGAGGAGGAGGAAGACGAGGACGACGAGGACGCCCTGCGGCTCTCCGTACCTCAGAGCCACAAGTCCACCACCGTGTGACCTCCGGAGGAAGTTCCCAGCAGCCATTGCAGTCTGGCTCTGGAGATCAGAAAGGAAATGCAGCATCATTTCATATCTTATGGATTTACTAATTTACTATACCTTTTTTGTAGTTTTGTCAGTCTGGCAGACCATCAGAGAATGACATTCTGTGGAGATATCAAATTACCGGGCCACAGCGAAGGTACACCACAGAGAGAGACACTGTGCAATAAACCCTTTTATGCTATATCACACACTTCATCCAATGGTTTTATACTTTTAAAGCATTTTATAAATGAACATTAAAAAGCGTATTGATGCCGTTGCTACTAAGTGTCCATCATGCAGAGGCGGAGTGTGTTCAGTGCTGTGTGTGTGTATCTGATGTCTGGAGGAGCTCAGCGGCCGGTATCAAAGCCGCTCGTGTCAGCTGGCTTCAGGAAATGTTGACTTCTTTTGGCCTTAGCACATGCCGCATGCCTTCCACTGGTGTACCACAAGGTCATGTGACAACTGGATACTTGTAAAATATGTAAATGTGTATTATGTTTTTTTTTCAATTCCTTTTGAACTTGAAAAAAGGTATCTATTGCATATCTGATGTTTAGAATATATTGTAAAAAACAGAAAAAAAGGGACATGAGTTAGTTTAATATGGTAACACACATCCTGTTGAGTGAACTCCTGTGAAGAGAAAAAGAAAAGCTGAGGTTTCATCGTAAGAAGAATCAGCTCGTGTTCTCAGAGCAGAAAAGAGCACAGGTTTAGTTTTTAACTTGTACTGACTTTACTTTCTAAATAAGCCCCACAGTAAGTCTACTCAGCACATAGCAGATATTTTCTGATAATGAGTCAACATGAGTAATGTCTACACGTTTTGTGTATCACAAATTTTGCACGGAAATGGACGACAGTTTTCGGGAACTTTATACTGGGAGATGACACAACATCGTACATTTTTTTTATAAACCCAAAGTGGGGAGGAATCAGGAGTCTTCAAGTGTTACCAAAGTAAGCACTATATCTGTATTGTGCTCATCCACGGGCCAGTTCCACTCCATTTCATGTGCAAGGACCTGCAGGTGTAACAATTTCTCTGAATGTCTGTATTGAACACTAACTCTATGAAAGACGAGGTGCAAGTGAATGCAGCGTGTCAGGTCCTGGAAATGCAAAAGATTCTGAGCGTCTACGATGATGATGATGTCGTTCCTATATGATGAACAGGACCCCCGGTGTTGTTTGATGGGAGAGGAACACGTTTTGGCACTTTTTGAGTCTGCAGTGCAGTAAGGACACAGCAACACTATGGAGCAGTCGGCACACTCGGCACACTCTGGAGACTACATGAGATTGTTGTGTGTGTGTGTGATGAGTTCACAATAAACCGTTTGATAAACTCTTGGGCTGATGTGTCTCATTACTGTGGGCAGCAGACCCCAGTGAGTGTGGAGATGACTGTGAGCACTTTTAGTTCCTCTGAAGTCTCTCGCTAAGATTGACTGCTTTCAGGAAGTGATTTCTCGCGGTTTTCAGAGCCGAGCCTCAACTACTAATCATTTCATGCAGAAAACCACATTTTAAAGGAGCATTTATCTTCGAGCATTCTCAACATCAACCAGGTTTGTTGCCTGTTTCTGCCAAATTCTGATTTGTATTACACAGTCTGGTTGTAATAGCCAAAGAACTGTGTGCTCACAGTATTTTATGTACTTTTATTGCAGTGATTGATGATGCTTGATATTTTGAATGTGCATTTAATGACGGTTACAGTTAATTACATTTCTATCAGGCTGCTTATAAAAAATACACTTTTCGTATTTGTTTACCTGCTGAACAGACCTGCGTCCCATTGAGTTGCCACATAAATCAGTTTGAGATTATTAAAAGGTGTTGAAAGATCAAATCCCTTTGGATGCTCATACTCCAGTTTTTTAAATATATATTTGACTAACCTTATAATTGTCCATATTGTAGGTCTGTCCTGAAACGTTGAAAAAGAGCACATTAAAATGTGACAGTGGGGGAGGGGCATGCATCATTTGCTTTTTTCACAGTAGAATTTCAATAGAAATTATGAAATATTGGAACAAATTAGCAGAAACATAAAAAGGAAATGAATTGAATCTATAATATAACAACCACATGATCACGATGCTGCTTTCAGACAAACTGAAAAAAAGGTAAATCCACACAATGTTATTATTGTAGCTATAATTATTAGTTTGTGTATTATTATTTTTTTACTATTTATCTTTTAGTATTATTTGTTCTTTTTGTATACTGAGAATTACCATACATTATAGTTCCATTTCCCCAAGTTCATTATGTTATTTTAGAATGATAACTGTTGTAAACGTTGTTACTATTATTGTTATTGCCATAGTTTGTGTTGCTATAGGTGTGTGTTGTATTTCCGTGTTTGCTCCTGCAGTATGCCGGTAACGCAGCCTTGTGTGAGTCCTCTCGGGCAGCGGCTGCTTCTTTATCGGTCCGGGCTCCATATCTTTACCCACACTGAGTCCGGATGCCACGGCCTCGCGCTGTCTAATCGAGCAGGGCACGCGGCGCTTTGATTTCCTGCCCTCCATTTACTGATAGGCTGTTCTGTAGCAGAAAGGGCTGCTGTGATAGTGTCACATTCACCCAGTGACATTTACACACTGATTCTGATGATCTGTGCGGTTTGAAAACGCTACAATGTTGGTGAAGAAAATTGTTATGGAAAATAAGACTTAAGCTGATTCATTGATAAATATTTCACGTGCATGTATCGGATGGATAGACAACTGCATGTTGCGTACAATTCGTTTAAAACAGTCACATTTGAATGTCCATCGGTTAAACATTGAAATACCAAAATAAGCATGGAAATAGAAAATGCTGATCAGTCCAGTTCCAATAAATATTGCAGTTAGCTTTGCTTATGTATAGTTCTTTGCCTTGCGATAATCAAAGTTCCCGTCACTGCCTCACTGATTCACTCTGCACCTGCAGTGCACAGCACGCACGGCTCTTTGTACCGTGCGTAATGACGCTTCAAATGTGGCCGAACAGAAAACAAATGGTCTGTTTTGAAGCTTCTTCCTCTTGAGCAGAGCCCCAGGTAATATGAAACTGCCACCGCAGAGTGTCTGTCACTATAATGACAGCCTGCGGCCCAACTGACCACCAGACCGGGACTAAGCTCCACCAAAACCCTGCCATGTGGCCCCCTGGAGCCCGGGCTCTAATCACAATTAATATGCATTTAATGCCAAGACAATGTGAATGATTGCCATTTTTTCGTATGATATCATATTGTTAATAAGTGGAAATCCCAGCAAAAGTCCTTCCAAACCATGATGTACTGGCTGTTATTGTATTTATACGTCCCTGCCTGTACAGAGTTCGCCATCCCACCCACCCCTTTATTTTACCACTGTGCATGCAGGCTCTCAGACACCCTGGGGTGCGCCTCCGTGTTTCCTCTCCCCCTGTCAGACTGAGTAAGGCGCTGATAAGGCCTGCTGTATCAATCCTTGGAGACACGAGCCGCAGTCTGATGCGAGGTGGGGGTTTGGGGGGGGGGGCGATATCACCTATTGCCTAATCAAATAAGCTGATGATAATTGGAGAAAGGCAAAGCGGCTACATTCTGTTTCCTGTTATTAGCAACGTTTACTTAAGCACATTTTTGAGATACTTTACTTGAGTATTTGAATGTTTTGCTTCTACTCCATTACAACTCAGAAGGTTATTGGTGTACATTTACTCCCCTACATTTATTTAGTACCTTTAGTTACTTTTGCATTAATTATGTGAAATATGATCAACTGTTAAATCAGACTTTAGTTCCACCTGGAGTAAATCCACAAGCTACCCTGCAAAGTCATTCGAACTAGCTGCACCTTTACCAGCTTTGAGAACACTTTCATGATCAATCATTATAAAACATATCATATATATTATTCTGAAATGGACCAGTGTGCAGAATGATTACTTTTACTAAGTATATTTTGATGCCAATATTCTGTAGCCTATTTTTACTTGATTTGAAAGCAGGACTTGTAACAGAGTATTCCTAAACTCTGGTACTTCTACTTTTACTCGAGTACAAGATCTGAGTCCTTTTTACTCCTCTGACTATTGAGAATTTGAATCATAGGCCTATATTACCAAGAACTGCATTTGCGTTGATGTGAATCTAACAACTCCCCCCCCCCCGCGGCAGACCTGTAACCGCACTCTGCGCACTGAAACGCCGCGGGCGGATATTTCTTTGCAGACAAGTGAGCGGAGGAGTCCCTGCAGTGACACCTTTCCGCGCAACACCTGGCAGACGGGACGGCCGCAGTGCGCATGCTCTATTGTCAGGTTGGACGCTCTCTTAAAGCTCCTGACCTCGCGCCTTCCCACTAGTGTTTAGTTCAGCGCGAGCAGCAGCGGTCCCCCTTTCCACAGCTGGATTACTCTCACTCACTGCAGCCCAGAGATGCCTCGTTCCTTCATGGTGAAGAGTAAGAAGGCGCACAGCTACCACCAGCCGCGCAGGCTGGAGGAGGACTACAGCCGGCTGGACACTATACTGGCGCACATCTGCTCAGGTGTGTGCAAATGAATTCCCTGAAATACTTCACTGCGTAAAATGTGTCTTTCAATATTGCATATTTTAAGCTTAATACATTTTCCATGGCAGTATGTTAAAGTAGATGTATTATTGTAAATGTATATTAATTTATATCCCACAAATGGAAAGTGAATTAATTAAAGTATTACTTAGTTTATATTTCATTTTTTAAATGTAAATGTCGGATATTGATTAATGGTTGCTAGATCCTTATTGAGATGTCACGCTAGAGAAACATCACTTACATTTATGCAATTATGATATTTATAGTGACTCATTTCTATTCTTTTTTTGGCCTGCTGTTTTTTGAATCCTGTAACATTATAAGTTGTTGCTAGAAATAAAATAATATTGGCCTTGACATTTTGTAATTGTGCAACGCTAAAAAATATTTAAACAATTCTGCTATATTACCATTCATTTCAGTAGTTTATTAATCTCCAGTATGTTCCCAATGTTAATGAGAGATGAAATACAGTTTTCAGTGATTTTAAAGCATCAGATGCTCCCTACCTCGTCTCAGATGCTGACAGTCCGCCGTGTGAGCTCTCAGAAGCGGACCAGCTGCAGGAGGACGCCGACATGTCTGCGGACAGGTACGGCCTTTCCCCGGACTCTCACCTGGCGGACGCCGCAGATTTCTCCCCGAAGTCCCCGCTGAGCTGCGCCGACAGTCTGTGCGGCTCCCCGGAATATGAGGACTACTGGAGGCCTCCGTCCCCCTCTGCATCCCCGGGTACACACCTTACACACTTGTATATATCATTTAACTTTTTAAACACAATTGTAAACCATGATACAGTACAACCTGATTAGTTAGTATGATCAAAATCCCTAACAAGTAATGTTTTTAACGTTTAACTTCAGAGAGAACATTTTTCGTTTTTCATGATCACATTGTATAATATATACAAATACAATAAGTATTACTTAATTAACTCGGCTACTTTAAAGATGCTTTTATGATGTGAGTGAATGTGTCTATTTGTAAAGATGGAAATGTGTATTGTGGTCTTGAAATAACTTTGACAATTCTCCATTGATTTATTATAGTGCACCCAGTAGCGTCAGATATTAGGGTCATCATCAGGGAATTATCTTCTCCCCATCGACCTGCTGTCATTAAACGTTCATCTCCTCCCTCTCCAGCAGACTCAGAGAAGTCCATGTCTCCTCTGGTGGATGAGACGCAGCCCTTCTCCGTTCCTTTCCGGCCGTACGCCTGGAGCAGCTTCCCGGGGCCCGGGCTGAGGCCGCCGCTGCTGCAGCAGAGCCTCCACCCCGGTCTGGAGGTGGACAGGGGCCCGGCGGCGCTGGGCTTCTACGGGGACCGGAGCAGCCACCCGGCGCTGTATGCAGAGAGGAGTCTGGGAGAGGAGGCTTACAGGAGGCACGCGGCGGCTCTGCTGTTTCCGGAGGGCGGCCTGCACGGGAAGAGCCACAGCGCGAAGGCCCCGGCTGACCTGCTGTGCTCCAGCCTTATCCTCAACGGGGCTTTCAAGTGCATCAAGTGCAGTAAGGTGAGGATGGAGATGGAATTATTTATAGAACACTAACAACTTCACTATGTTGTTATTTCCAACAACTTCAATGCCTTATTTCGTTCTTTCTTTTCACCACCAGGTGTTTTCTACTCCGCACGGTCTGGAGGTCCATGTCCGCAGATCGCACAGCGGCACTCGGCCGTATGCGTGCGACATCTGCGGTAAAACCTTCGGACACTCAGTCAGCCTGGAGCAACATAAAGCCGTGCACTCTCAGGTAACTTCAACCTTAAAAACCGCATCCTGCGTGTTGCACCTTCTCATGCTGTTTTGAGATTGAGGGTGTTGGCTTCCTGAAATCATTACGCTTCTGCCGTTTCAGGAAAGAAGTTTCGACTGCAAGATATGCGGTAAAAGTTTTAAGAGGTCGTCGACTCTGTCTACGCACCTGCTCATCCACTCCGACACCCGGCCGTACCCCTGCCAGTACTGCGGGAAGAGGTTCCACCAGAAGTCAGACATGAAGAAACACACGTTCATCCACACAGGCAAGTGCAGAAAGGAAGGATGAATTGGTTGGAACGTCCAGGTTTCTTAAATAATCTGTGCGTAAAAGTTCGGAAAATGCATGATATAATTTAGCTGTGTTCAATTAAAATAACACTCAACTTATACGTTTACTTTGATTTTAGGTGAGAAACCACACAAATGCCAGGTGTGTGGGAAAGCGTTCAGTCAGAGCTCCAACCTCATCACGCACAGCAGGAAACACACCGGCTACAAACCCTTCTCCTGCGACCTGTGCGGGAAAGGTTTCCAGAGGAAGGTGGATCTGAGGAGGCACAAGGAGACACAGCACGGACTGAAGTGAAGAGACCTCTGAACACCATGTCTTCAATCATTATTCTTCAAAAGAGTGAGGACATCTGACAGACATTTCAAGTTCGCCTTTTTTCAGAATGGCTGCAGTTTGAGGACATTTCTTGGATCAATTTGATCTTCTTTGTAAATGTGAAAGTGCATTGGAAATATGTATAGTATTTATTTATTTTATTAAAGAAAAAAGGTATATGTTTCACTAAATAAGCCTTCTTCTGACGGATTTCAAATGAGAGGATTCAAACACTAACTAGCAGGTTGTTCTAAAAAACCGGAAAACCAGAGATAAGCATGTGAACTGTGAGAAATGCAGATATGATTAAATAAATGTATCATGTTTGTTATGTCGACAAATCAGCTTAATTTAACCCAAAATATGAGTGCCCCCACAAACCGGATTACGATAGGCCGCACAGATGAAAATCTGCGCCTCTCCAAAAAAGAGCCGAGGCACTTTGTTGTCAGTGAGACATGCTGGCACAACAGCCTCATTGAGGGATTTCATCAACAAGAGGGTTATTCGGAGTTAAAAACGAAGCTTCTCATGTTTCCATTTTGCACTATTTATTGTCAGAATGAACTTCTTTGTCGTGAACGAATAAACTTATTTCCTATAATTTGATTCTCTTGTTGTTGATGATAAAATCATAAAGTGCAATACAAACTTTAAATGAACGATATTGGTAAATCTCCAGAACTTGGGATTTTCTTTATTATAATTATAATTAAAGCAGAATCAAAAGGCCTTCCTCAGCACAATAAACCTGCTGCTGCCGTGATTGTGATTGCCCAGAGGCCACCACGGCTCCTGTTTGTTTTGACCATGCAGCCCGGTGTTTAGACCCCAAACACTGAGCACACTGAACCGCTAACCAGATGCGTGTTACCCTCATGACTGCTGTTTACAAATAAGAGGGAGAAGAAAGAGAAAAACCGTTTTGTCAGGAAGCTGGCAGCAGCTGTGATCCACAGAGGGATTTCTGCGGGGATGGAGTTAGAAATAGTTTGTAAGACTTTGATGGTGATAAGAAACGGATCTAATCCGAGGCCTCTGAGTGGATCACAGGAAATGAGTAATTACAGGCAGAAATCAATCATTAAGACTTTGATATTAAAGGGGACCGATGAAAGAAAGTGTTTTTTTATGGACAGTGACTTAAATAAAGGCGGGGTAATAATGACTTCCATTGACTTACCATTATAAGTCATATATGAAACAAATAATCAGTTTATTAGATGAGCATTTTACATATACCATTATTATATGGTGTTAATTTATGTAGATTGAAAACTTAAAGGCAGACAGTTTAAACAATGAAAATAACATTCATCAGCAATGTGAAATACAAATAAAAAAACGGATTTCAGGGTACACATCACCCACAAATAGAACATCTATCCGTTAGTCAATACTTCTCTTCATATTAATTTACATACCATTGTACATCCACATGTATACACTGTATATGTATATTGTATATTTAGGCAGAATATAGTATATCTATTCACCCCCCCTCAGTCATCTATATATTATGTCTTCTCCCTGCATATATGTGTACCCTCTCCTCCCATTTCAAACTGTCTCATTAATAAGATGAATAATAATATAATGGAGAGGGGGAGATATACATTTACTTGTATATAACCTCCATTTTGTTTTGCCTTTTTGCTTTATACTTAAGTCATAAAAATGCAGTTAGGTGTGGTAATAATGACTGTCATCATTTGATTCTTTCACCGTTTCGTCTTTCAAAGTAGAAGATAAAGAGGAACAATCAGTTAGTCGCCTTCCTTCAACATTGATTGAAATCACTGACTCACAAAGATTCTTTATGCCTCACTTCCCCCAAAATCATACAACATCCAGGCCTGCGAAAATACTGAATATTTTAAACCCCCAGATGAACAGACTGGAGGAGAACAGGAAGAGGCGAGCTCATTTCAAGCACAACTTAATGGAGCTGTGCACCTCTGAGCTTCAGCATGCTGCAGTGAGAGAGTCACGGCATTTCATTAATCTGCAACTTCATCTGCAACAACTTCTAATTTAAAATGACATGTGAAGAGAGGGGCTTGTAATAGATGTGCAGTTTCTAAATGAAATCACCAATGTCACCGATACAAGCTTTCAGGTCATGGGATAATGGCCAAAACATTTTTCTCAAAAACCTTGTAATGGTAGAGATCACAGATAGGACTGCTCTGTGTAACATTATAATTCTAGGGATGCACGATGACACTACTGATACCGGAAGACAAAGGGTTCAAATCAAATATTAGCATCGGAGGAATACATATCTCCTCTGAAATGTTACATTAGACAAAATATTCACATATTAACCTGTAACCTAAATTGAAATAGTTTCCTTATTTTGAAACTCATCTCCCGCTGCCATCATGATAGGCGCACAATGTTCTTTTCCACCACAGGAAAGACTCATTTCTGACCAATAAGGAGACAATAAATATGTGTTTCCATATTGGCTCAAATTAGTTGGAAGATTGGGACGATAATCAAATAATGTACATAGAGATTATTCCTGTATTTTTTATAATCAGGCTTTACAGTATATCTAACTAAACTTCCTTTTCAAGTCACTCGTGTTAGGATATTCACAATTATCCCGATCATTTAAATTCACTATAAGTTTGCCATTAAGTGCCTTTAACATGACATTACATGTCACTTGTTAGACGCTTTTATCCAAAGCGACTCAATACTGTGGACAATCCCCACAGGACCAATTGGGGATGAAGTGTCTCAGAGACACAACGACATGCTGACTGCAGTGGGACTCGAACTTGCTATCCCCTGATTCCAAGTCCCAAACTACCCACTGAGCCACAGCCACCCTCTGAAGCAGCCTGAAGCAGCTGCCCGACCATGACCTTATAAAGTAACGGGCGGTGGGTAACTTCAGGTGTGTTTCTCAGACACCAGCTGAACTTTAGCCATCAACCTCCCATCACAACTCTCTGTAGGTGACTGAGCAGCGGCTTGTTATTGTGTCTGGAGGTATTGCAGGATCCCCTCTGAGTCGCTCCTTAAAGCACGATCACAGAGGAGCTTTCCAACAGAAATCTCCAAAACGAGCCATTAGGCTGGCAAGATTTGCCTCCAAGGGCACGGCAGATATTTTAAAGCATTACCCCACTGCCCCAAGGCATATGAAATATGAATAGAAGACGGCTCGATCGATCGGAGTGGGCGAGTAATCAGAGCGTTGCAGTCTGAGGCTCAAATCTAGGCCTGCGTCTCCGTCCGTAAGTGCACACACTCAAGAAAGCACACACATCTGTGCACACACAACCGCACATGCATATACCCAGAGGTAATCCTTTTCTATGACATATTTGTGCAATTAGAAAGTTCAGGGTCAGGGTTTTGTGGTTTTTGGAGGATTCCTTATTAATATGAAATTAAACATGAATAATAAAAGAGAGATTTCTAGAGACACACTATGCTGTTCTGTTTGAACAAGATGGATGATTTCTCAATCTGGACTTCATTTATTATGAGTTTTGATGTCAGAGAGACTGCAGAAAATAATGTTGTACGTAAAATGGAACAAAATGACACTTCAACATTGTTGGGGAAAACACCACAGCTCCATCTCCTGACTTACAAACATGGAGAACCTCCTCGCTAAAAAAGAGGGATCCAGATCTCGTCCCAAACAGCTGACAAGAGTGAATATCTGGAATCAGCAACATCTGGTGAACGGTCAGATTGTACTTTCCATGAGAGAGCACCATGTGGAGAGAGCTAATGTGATTGTTTCCCTGAGGGCGACAGACCTGCTGTGTATATTGTAATAATAATGTGCTATTTGCTCTCACGCTCTCATCAGCACATTTCACACAGGTTAGACAGGTTACAAAGAGAGATAACCTGAGAGAGATCCAGGATTTCTAAGCTCTCAGAGCCAAAGCACTGATTAGTGTGTTAGATGCACTTTTAATGTAGGGAACCTTCTGCGTCAGAGAGACTCTCCTGCTCACCTGTCCCCTGCCTTGGCGACTGACACGCCACCTAAAGCTGGGACAGATGAAGAGAGGCAGGGCACATATAGGACATGGCTCTTTTGTTGCAGAGGCTTATTCATTATTCACCTGATCTGAAAAACAGACTGCAAACCAACTGCACAGCTGTCATTGAGCAACAAGGCGTAGACACAAATTATTCATGACTCGGCGAAGAAAAGGCAGCAGAATGAGAGGAAAATAATAACAAGAGACATCAGCGAGGCGGCTGACAGGCCTAACGCGTGTGGGGGGGGCTTCCTGCTGCAGTGCCAGCCGCGGCTATACACACGTCCCTCGACACACTTAACACACCATGTGCACTTTGACATACAGCAATTAATCTGAACAGCTTATTCGTTTGAGAACATTGTTTGTATTACAGAATGATCATGTGTTTAGTCGCGCACATTCATAGAAAAGTTTGTCCCATTTTGAACGGAAGCATCCATCCATCCAACTTCATCTTTGGGAGGTTGGGAGCTGGTCCAGTGTTCCAGCACCCTAAAGTATACTTTTCTGGGGAGGCCGAGTAATCTGGGGCCCATGTAGAACTTCTAAGGTACTGTCCCCAACTTCTACGAGACTAGTCATCCATGACTGTCCCTGAACACCCAGAGCCTTCAGCATTTCTACACAGATCTCATCAACACCTGGGGTTTTGTCACTGGGAAGTTCTTTAACTCCTCAGTGACCTTCTCCTGGAGAATGATGTTGACCCACCCCCATTCTCCAACTCTTCCTCGACCATAGAGGGAGGGTTTGTTGTCGGTTCGGGAGTTCCTGAAAGTGTTCCCTTGAGGCACCTAAGACCATGAGACCACAGCTCCCGGCAGCATGTTCTGGAATGGAGGCTTTGAACATCGCCCACTCTGGTTCGATGGCCCCAGCCTTCACAGGGATACTAGGAAAGCTCTACTGGAGTTGAAAGGCTACCGGACTGGGTCCTCCTCCAGTCTTCCCAGACGGTAGTTTTTGTGAACCAAAGCGTCTACAGATTAAATCCACACTTAATATATTATCATCCAAAGTTAGGTATGAAACTAAATGAATAACTTGTTTTGGCTGCAAGGGACTTCCATTTGTCACTTGATTGGGAATTATAATTAGCTGAGATTCAATGTAATTCAAATGACAGGTCGATACCTTCAAATAGGGCCTAATGACCTTACATCAGAATCTAAAACAGATAGGTAATCCTATTCTCAACCCTTAACATGTCCTATCATGCTGTAGCTTCAAAGTGAGGCCATTATAATCTTATCGAAATACCTTAGACTAGCTAGACATGGGATTATATTGTTTGGCCTTTCTTCTTTGGTTAGAGATTATTTAAAAATATTATCTTATTTGAGGTTTGCTGTCTTTTAATGCCTTATAAGGTCAAAATGAAGTTTATTGCAGAAAGGTTTCACATACAAGAAATATGCCAAAACTAACTATGCTTTTTGTAACAATGCAAGAAGGGGGAGAATACCATTGTCTTATATTTTTACAATATTTTTATCATGAATGTCAGTGTGATGGTCGACTGTTTTGACTTTGTGTTGAAAAGCCCAACAT